CCAAGCTCAGGACTTTTATAAATTCAATTCGTCAAAATTGCTTATAAGACGGGAATCAGTTTTAAATGTTTTTGTGTGTGTGTGTGTGTACTGAACCATGTAAAATATTTTCAAGCAATTGCCTAATGGGGATAATAACCATGTAGCTTTTATTTACCACAGAAAGGGGAGATTTATAAGAATTATGACTGAAAACACTATATATAATGTATACTGTATGTGTTTAAGTACTATCTATCCAGATGTAATGTACAGTGCATTCGGAAAGTATTCAGACCCCTTGACTTTTTCCACATTTTGTTACGTTACTGCCTTATTCGAAACTCCCCAAATACAGGTGTGCCAAGCTTGTAGCGTCATACCCAAGAAGACTCAAGGCTGTAATAGCTGCCAAAGGTGCTTCAACAAAGTACTGAGTAAAGGGTCTGAATACTTATGTAAATGTCATATTTCAGTTTTTTATTATTTATATATTAGCAAAAAGTTCTAAAAACCTGTTTTTGTTTTGTCATTAGTGGGGAAAAAAAACAATTTAATACATTTTAGAATAAGGCTGTAAATGTGGAAAAAGGCAAGGGGTCTGAATACTTTCCGAATGCACGTATGTTAAATGTGTGTACAATGTACACAAAAAATATTATTTTTGTCCTCGAATATGCAGTTAAAACAATAACCAAATGTCATCCCTGCCACTGTTTTGATAAAAAGCTGGGGGACGGGGCTGGAGAAATGTAACCACCGCCAAATTCATAGACCGAGCTATGGATGAAATAAATTACCATCCATGATATCAAAATTATGTTTTGAGTCTATACAGGGTTTGTTTACCTTAACATTGTTTACAAACATTGGAGTAAAATAAGCTTTTATTTTGGGTTCTGATGGGGATGCTAGTGCAATACAAATGTCCTAATAGAGACAAATCTCCAGATGAAACAAGCCAAACAAAACATTTTCTGAGGTTATTTTTTTCTCCCAGAACCTCTTCCGTGATCAAAACGAGCGCCCTGACACCAAACGTATGTTTTTTCCTCTTAACCATTCCCAACTGGGAGCTGCCATTGAAATTCATGAAAGGGATTTGTTTTTTTCTTTGCACTAATCAAAACCAACAAACTGAGAGATGTAGAGAAGAAGTCCAGGACAAGGGGCATTTAGTGGGGAAGGGAAGTGTAGATAACCAGGTCTGTTGTATTCGCCTTGAAGTCAAAATATGATGGCGTCAATGCTTTGTGTCCCTTGGAAAGCACAAGGACGCCGGGGTTTCTAACTCTAGCCAAGTGTTTTTGTTTCCAACTGTATGGCACTATTTGAGTTTGTGGTGCTGTATTGTAACAGTTTTCAGCCTAAATTGGTGTCATCCAAGGTATTTTGCTATCCAGGAGGAGTGTTTACTGTAGTTCAATGGCAACGCCAAAATTTTAGCAATCTTTAGACTATTCCAATACTCCGATTTGATCATTTAACCACTCGCTGTTACAGACAGACAGTATACAGACAGTATACACAACTGGACTGTTGCTGCTGCAGCCGAACACAGCCAAGCGGAGAAAGTAAACACAAAGCTCATTCTCATTGCAGTCGCAGCGCGAGGTTCAATCTCTCAGCCCCACAATCACCATCACACACTGTTCCAGTGCACTGCACCATCCTCTTGCCTCGGGCCATTCAGTGTGGGCCCAGTTATTACAAGGCTTTTCCAGGGTGACAGAAATAAAGAATGAAATAGGTATCCATCAACAGGATGGAGGAGGGGAGGGGGGAGGACTGAGGAGGAGAGGGAGGACGGAGGAGGGAGAAGGGAGGACGCACGGACGAGAGAGAGGACGGACGAGGGGAGGAGAGGGAGGACGGACGAGGGGAGGACGGACGAGAGAGAGGGAGGACGGACGAGGAGATGGAGGACGGAGGAGGAGAGAGAGGACGGAAGCGGAGAAGGAGGAGGGTGGATTGATGATATTCTGGCCCTGTCTGGAGCTCTCGTTGTAGTCATGACCTAGCTCAGCAGCCACCCGCCGCTTCGCCCCGCTTCATGATAGATAGATGACTCAGGGGCTTCTGCCGGATAAGGAGGGATCCCTGGTATCTCACACCACCACAGTACCTGAATGGCAATGTTTGTCCACTCGACCAGACTGCTTCCCAAATGGCACCCTTTACCTATTTAGTGCACTACTTTGGACCAGGGCCCATAGAGAATAGGGTGCCATTTGGGACGCTGACCAGGAACTAACAGTAGTGGCCCCGGATGCATTAATAAAGTCTCCCCAAAAAGGAGTATATGCATGATGGAAATTGGGAATCAACGCAGTAACCGAGAATGAAGTCTGTTTGGAAATTGCTTTGTACTAGAGCTACATGGAAGTGTATTGATTTTTCAGGAGGTTTATTTGTATCCCATTGACAGACCTACTAGCACAAATCTATAACTGACCCTTACCTTAACCCTCAACTTAACCAACCCCCTAACCTTAACCCTAACCGTAAGCTAATTTGAACCAACTAAAATGTTATATTGAGTCACTTCAACATTGTGCCTTGGTGTCCGTTATTTTGTTATGTACATTTCTCTGTTTTAATTGTATTCAGCAAATCAAATATCAAAAATAATTTTACTCAATGGTGTTTTGAAATACTTTTTACTCCCAAACATATGCTTTTGCCAAATTGCCACAATGCCATGGATTCATTGAAGTAAAATAATGTCAACATCAATATTCACTCCAGTTATATCTTTGAAAGCTTAAACCTAATACGTTAATCTCAAAATGCTCATTGTTCATGGCATCTGTGATAATGCTTAAATGCAAAGGAACACATGCTCCAGCATATGTGCCAGATGTGGTTTTCATAGCTCATTGTGAGTTCAAAAGAAAGCCGATTCTGATGGGTTGAATCAAAGTGAGACTGTCAAAATGCATTATCTTCACTGCTTTCAATAGAAGTAATGCAGTGTCATGGTCTCTTATAGAACCCCCAGCTATACGTATGGTTTATCCCTCTCTTGTGTTTGTTTTTCATCAAAGAGGATAATACATCAAAGCTGGCACATATGATACATTCTATATTTTGGTTTGGAGTCTGATTATCAGTGAAAAATCTCTTAATACTGTACAGGGAAAAGAAGTGAGTGCTACTGACGTGCAACAGTTATACTGTACACTCCCCCTGAAAGCAAATCCATTCATTTGTCCTTTACCTGTGCTCCCCTCTCTCTTGTAATAATCATGTAAGTAACCCTACCATGACACTGTCTCCTTGGAGAAATTGGATTCAGAGTGTGGCCCCTCAATCTCATACTGTATGAACTGACATTGGCTGCAACCCAACTTGGATTGATACACCTCCTTCCCACTTCCTTCCTGCACTTTCTCTCTATCTCCCTCGCTCCCTCTCTCTCTCTCTGTCCCCCCCCCCCCCGCTCTCTTGTTCTCCCCCCCTCTCTGTCTCCCTCCCCCCCTCTCTCTCTGTCTCCCTCCCCCCTCTCTCTCTCTTGCTCTCTTGCTCCCCCCCCCCTCACTCTGTATTGAGTTCTCTCTCTTCATCTACAACCGGAATCTGCCTGCGGCATAAGTGTGGTGCTCCTTTGCTTTTCAAAGACACAGTGAGTGTATGGGAGCCTCGGCAGCAGGCCCCTCCTGAGATATGCCAGCCCCCTCCCACGCCCACCTCTCTGCTCTCTTTCTGCTCTGTGTGGTCTCCTGAGGGTCCTCTATTTCTAAGTCCGCGTCAGTGACTGGGGATATGGTGTGCAGGAGGCTGTTATCTTTGTGGTATCTCGTCTCTCAATGAGTATTAAGGATTTTCAAGCAGCGGATTGCATTTCAACAGTGTTTATTTGTTTGATTTCCCCGTAAGTACAACCTATCTTATATTTCATACAAACACAGTTCATTTCAGTATTTCTCACACAAGTATTCTGTGTTCATAGTTGCACAGTAATGCCTGCAGTAGATAGGCAACTCTGCCTCGGCTGAGCCAACATGGCCCGACGGCCTTCCTCTCTTTTTTCTCCACACAGGAAGTGGAAGTCCTGCTGGTGCCCTCTGCCGTACGTCGCTGTGTTTTCACTGGCTTTACCGGCACAGTGGGTGACGGGCACACAGGCCCGTATCGATAATGTGCGGGGCCATGGCCGTGCCCAGCCGAGGTGGGATTTGCTCCTCTGTGACTGTAGATAGCAGCTAGCTACTTTCCCCCAACGACACATATTTTACGGCAGGCATAAAATGGGCTGGGAACTATTGATTTTATATAAACACCTCCATCTTGACAATCATGGGCACTACAACGGCCTGGGTTGTACCGTAACAAGCCATACTTAACCCAGACACTTTAAAGTGCGTTAGATTTACTCACACTGGTCTTTTCTCTGCAAATCACTTTGTTGGTTATGGTAACTCCTTGTTGACCCTTTACGTATAGATACTTGTGAAGTATGTGTTATTGTTACAGTTTGTCTATTTAGTGTTGCCTGTACAGTGTTCACAATAGTTGAACACGAGGTCAGTCAGTCAATTTCTGTCCTCTCTGACCCCTCAGTTAAAGGTCAGCCAGGAGCACTGTCTTGATAATCTGCCATAACTCTGTTGAAAGATACCCAAACTGCTAGAGGGCATATTGTTCACGCGGTGTATGGTATGGATTCAGATTGCTCTATAGACAGTGTGGTATCATATACAGAAATGCAAGTTAGTTTTGAATTTCAGATTTTCTGAACAGAAAGATAAAAGGGAAAGACACAGTCAATACTTAACCGCTAATTGCTAGGTAGGCTACATAACATTCCTAAGAACATAACATTCCAACTTTTTTCAAACGGCTGCACAGATGAGGTCTAGCGCTCCAAATGCGTTTTTTTATGAAACAGATACTTAGCTCCCTGATGCAGTCTGAATTTGACGTTGCAGTAGTGATGAATGAGTTAACAGAGCGAGAGGCTAACGAGAATGACAAAAGACAGAGCGAGAGAAAGCGAGACGAGGGAGAGACACTAGAGAATGAGCAGGGCACAAGAGAAACGAGAGAAACAAGAAAGACTAGGAAAAAAGGGAGAGAAGGACGAGGCTTTCTGGGCACCTGTGCGTTGTGGGGTCTGTCTGACACCTGTGCGTTGTGGGGTCTGTCTGACACCTGTGCGTTCCGAGGGTTCTCCTGACACCGCGTCAGGTGATCCGAGATCCTCCATGACTGCTCTTGTTAATGGCTCCTACCAGGTGGGAGTCACATGTCTGTTCAAACCCAGCAAAGTGAATACATGTGCATGCCATTACTGTCACCCACAACACCTGGGGAGAGCTTTCCTTGGTGTGATTTCTTTTTAAAGATCCATTTAGAAATCGAGTATGTCCTTTGTACTTGATGTTAAGTTCTGTGCATGAAGGAATAAGCATTCTCCCTCAAGCTTAACTCAAATAGGAAAAATAACTTTTTATTTTTTTCTGACATTGTTTGATTTGCTTTATTGATGTGACAGTGAGGTGAACAGAAACATGAATACAGAGCAGAGTAGTGATGGCTAAAGCGGAATACTACAAAGGCACTTAAGCTAATCAATTAGTCATGTTTTCCACAACAAAATGTCAGTTTACAGAATGGTGACGAGTGTGGAGGCTGTTTTAAGTTTTGGGTCAACGTGTTTAAGGAAAGGATAGAGTGAGGAATACAACAGAAATAGGCAGCTAAAAATGGATCTGTAGATGTAGACTTTTCAAAATAGTGTGTATATATATACAGTGGGGAAAAAAAGTATTTAGTCAGCCACCAATTGTGCAAGTTCTCCCACTTAAAAAGATGAGAGAGGCCTGTAATTTTCATCATAGGTACACGTCAACTATGACAGACAAATTGAGAGAAAAAAATCCAGAAAATCACATTGTAGGATTTTTTATGAATTTATTTGCAAATTATGGTGGAAAATAAGTATTTGGTCACCTACAAATAAGCAAGATTTCTGGCTCTCACAGACCTGTAACTTCTTCTTTAAGAGGCTCCTCTGTCCTCCACTCGTTACCTGTATTAATGGCACCTGTTTGAACTTGTTATCAGTATAAAAGACACCTGTCCACAACCTCAAACAGTCACACTCCAAACTTCACTATGGCCAAGACCAAAGAGCTGTCAAAGGACACCAGAAACAAAATTGTAGACCTGCACCAGGCTGGGAAGACTGAATCTGCAATAGGTAAGCAGCTTGGTTTGAAGAAATCAACTGTGGGAGCAATTATTAGGAAATGGAAGACATACAAGACCACTGATAATCTCCCTCGATCTGGGGCTCCACGCAAGATCTCACCCCGTGGGGTCAAAATGATCACAAGAACGGTGAGCAAAAATCCCAGAACCACACGGGGGGACCTAGTGAATGACCTGCAGAGAGCTGGGACCAAAGTAACAAAGCCTACCATCAGTAACACACTACGCCGCCAGGGACTCAAATCCTGCAGTGCGAGACGTGTCCCCCCCCCATGTCCAGGCCCGTCTGAAGTTTGCTAGAGTGCATTTGGATGATCCAGAAGAGGATTGGGAGAATGTCATATGGTCAGATGAAACCAAAATATAACTTTTTGGTAAAAACTCAACTCGTCGTGTTTGGAGGACAAAGAATGCTGAGTTGCATCCAAAGAACACCATACCTACTGTGAAGCATGGGGGTGGAAACATCATGCTTTGGGGCTGTTTTTCTGCAAAGGGACCAGGACGACTGATCCGTGTAAAGGAAAGAATGAATGGGGCCATGGATCGTGAGATTTTGAGTGAAAACCTCCTTCCACCAGCAAGGGCATTGAAGATGAAACGTGGCTGGGTCTTTCAGCATGACAATGATCCCAAACACACCGCCCGGGCAATGAAGGAGTGGCTTCGTAAGAAGCATTTCAAGGTCCTGGAGTGGCCTAGCCAGTCTCCAGATCTCAACCCCATAGAAAATCTTTGGAGGGAGTTGAAAGTCTGTGTTTCCCAGCGACAGCCCCAAAACATCACTGCTCTAGAGGAGATCTGCATGGAGGAATGGGCAAAAATACCAGCAACAGTGTGTGAAAACCTTGTGAAGACTTACAGAAAACGTTTGACCTGTGCCATTGCCAACAAAGGGTATATGACAAAGTATTGAGAAACTTTTGTTATTGACCAAATACTTATTTTCCACCATAATTTGCAAATAAATTCATAAAAAATCCTACAATGTGATTTTCTGGATTTTTCTTTCTCATTTTGTCTGTCATAGTTGACGTGTACCTATGATGAAAATTACAGGCCTCTCTCATCTTTTTAAGTATATATTTTATTTTTTTCAGTTTTCAAAAAGACAGACAATAACAGTTGAAGACATTAAATATCCCCCCACCCCTCAATCCCCTTGAAACAAATGACAGATAAACATGGAAAAGTATTTTCATTGTTTCTAACATATGATGTAGTTATGACCCAAGCATGTCAAAACAAGTCAGCTCATTAAATGATTGATCTGGATATTTTTATCGTTGCTGTACACTGCTGCTGATGAGACATTGTGCATGTTCTGGGTTAGTCTCCAATTGATTCAGACTTAAACCTTTCCTTCAGTCAGAATCCTTAAACAAAAGGGTTCATTGGTTCTTTAAGCAGCTGGCTAGTCAATCAGTTCCTGAATCATTGTTGCTTGGAGTCGTAGGAGCTTGCAGTTGAGCTTGACTTAGAATAACATCACTTCTTTGTGATGTAGTCAATAGCTAGGTTTCCATTCAATTGGCGACAGATTTTAATGTGAATATTCTAAAATCTGCATAAAGTAAATATGCACATTTTCCCACCAGTGGTGTGTTTCCATCAAACTGACTTATGTGTGATGACATAGTGCACACAAAATGTTATTTTGTGTTTCCATCGCATTTTCAACTCTACCGATAGTTTTGTCACAAAAACTGTTGCGTTAAATAGCAAATGTGCCTACTCTGGTCTTGGCACGTGCACTGTAGCCAACAGCTGCCAGATACAGTGCGGGTAGGCTGTGTGGGGAGGCAAGTCTACATGATGAGATTATTATGAATATTTTTATTTGTCAAATGGCAGTCAAGCATCGATCATCATGTCACCAGAATAAGACCCTCGATATTTATTGGAAAGGAGCATCAAGATCACAGTGCACTTTCACCACCCTGTGAAGGTCATCATAACTTATTTCATCTGTAGCCTAATGAACTGCATGGTTTTTCAAGTCGTAGTTGGAGGACCACACACAATGTCATCGCGTGACTCCCAAGTTTACTTCGATTTGATGGTTGTTATATCAACATTTGTGCATAAAGGTGTTTCCACCTCCATTTCTCGCATTATTAATTTTACCGACACAAAAAGATCTCACCATATCAAACGAACAAATGATCTGTCGCCATTTATGAAATTGTACTGAAACTTTCTGTTTCCATCACAGCTGTCGTGTTTTTTTTTTTTTTTATAGGGTATGACTTTACTCGCATAAAAACTGTGGATAGAAACGTGGTTAAGAAGTCAATTCTATTCCTGAGTGTAGTTACAGATATAGGATCTTAATTTGATCATCCTTTTGTTGCAGGAAATTTCCTGCACAGCAGGAAATGCAAACTTGTAGTGTTTAAGGTTTAAAAAGGCTTCTAAAGTTTGTAATTTCCACTTTAAAATGTCAGACTTGATTTGTCCTAACTAAAAATGTATCAACCCCTACAAAAATGTCCATTCATTATCATCCACACAATAATTCACATTTCCTGTTAATGCAGTATTATTTTTCTGCTGTGAGAAATGTCTAATTTAGATCCTATATCTGTATGGTCATTATCGATGCTCTTATCCGAAGTGACTTACAGTTATCAAATGTATTCGATGCCTGTGGTCCATGTTGGTATCCTCTGTAGCTCAATTGGTAGTGGGTTCGATCCCCGGGACCACCCATACGTAAAATGTATGCACACATGACTGTAAGTCGCTTTGGATAAAAGCGTCTGCTAAATGGCATATTATTATTATATTATAAATACACAGCCCTGATCTGGCCAGCACCCTTCTCCAAACTATATGAATACTGAACCATTTAGCATTTTATAACCAATCTTTTTGTTCATACATACAGTACCAGTCAAAAATCTGGACACACCTACTCATTCCAGGGTTTTTCTTTATTTTTACTATTTTCTACATTGTAAAATAATAGTGAAGATATCAAAACTATGAAATAACACAAATGGAATCATGTAGTAACCAAAAAAGTGTTTTATATTTGAGATTCTTCAAAGTAGCCATCCTTTCCCTTGATGTCAGCTTTGCACACTCTTGGCATTCTCTCAACCAGCTTCATGAGGTAGTCACCTGGAATGCATTTAAATTAACAGGTGTGCCTTGTTAGAAGTTAATTTGTGGAACTTCTTTCCTTCTTAATAAGTTTGAGCCAATCAGTTGTGTTGTGACAAGGTAGCACCCCTACCTTGTCACAGCACAGAAGATAGCCCTATTTGGTAAAAGACCAAGTCCATATTATGGCAAGAACAGCTCAAATAAGCAAAGAGAAACGACAGTCCATCCTTACTTTAAGACACGAAGGTCAGTCAATCCTAAAATACATTTAAATGTTTCTTCAAGTGCAGTCGCAAAAACCATCAAGCGCTATGATGAAACTGGCTCTCATGAGGACCGCCACAGGAAAGGAAGACACAGAGTTACCTCTGCAGCAGAGGATAAGTTCATTAGAGCACCTCAAATTGCAGCCCAAATAAATGCTTCACAGAGTTCCAGTAACAGACACAGAGGAGACTGCGTGAATCAGGCCTTCATGGTCGAATTGCTGCAAAGAAACCACTATTAAAGGACACCAATAAGAAGAAGAGACTTGCTTGGGCCAAGAAACACAAGGAATGGACATTAGACCGGTGGAAATATGTCTAATGAGTCCAAATTTGAGATTTTTGGTTCCAACCGCCGTGTCTTTGTGAGATGCATAGTAGGTGAACGGATTATCTCCGCATGTGTGGTTCCCACCGTGAAGCATGGAGCAGGAGGTGTGATGGTGTGGGGGTGCTTTGCTGGTGACAATGTCACTGACTTATTTAGAATTCAAGGCACACTTAACCAGCATGGCTATTACAGCATTCTGCAGCGATACGCCATCCCATCTGGTTTGTGCTTAGTGGGACTATCATTTGTTTTTCAACAGGACAATGACCCAAAACACACCTCCAGGTGGTGTAAGGGCTATTTGACCAAGAAGGAGAGTGATGGAGTGCTGCATCAGATGACCTGGGCTCCACAATCATCCGACCTCAACCCAATTGAGATAGTTTGGGATGAGTCGGACCACAGAGTGAAGGAAAAGCAGCCAACAAGTGCGCAGCATATGTGGGAACTCCTTCAAGCCTGTTGGAAAAGCATTCCAGGTGAAGCTGGTTGAGAGAATGAGAGAATGCCAAGAGTGTGCAAAGCTGTCATCAAGGCAAAGGGTGGCTACTTTGACAAATCTCAAATATAAAATATATTTTGATTTGTTTAACACTTTTTTGGTTACTACATGATTCCATATGTGTTATTTCATAGTTTTGATGTCTTAACTAATATTCTACAATGTAGAAAATAGTAAAAATAAAGAAAAATCCTTGAAGGAGCAGGTGTGTCCAAACGTTTGACTGGTACTGTATTTCACCCCCACCTGGATAAAAAATGCATACAACCTGAGTTATTTAATTCCTGCTTCATGTGAAGGTGAGGCTGCAGAGTCCTTGAACTTGACATGACTACAGTGCTACTTTGACCATTTCAACCATCCTGCCTCTTGATAAGTTGGTCGATAAGGTCGGTCTAAAAATCGGTGGGTGACACCTTTTTCCAATGTGAAAACATGTACGATAAGTCTTGTTGAGACCAGTGGGGTGAGGAATTGTGCCATATTTTGATACAGGATAGCCGTGGCGCTCACCTCACCTCTTTGTTGTTATTGTATACCTCACATGTTGTGGCTGTTGTTGTTGCTTACCTCACATATTCATGCTGTTATTGTTGTTTACCTGACACATTGTTGTTTACTTCACTTCTTGTTGTTGTTTTTGACCTCACATCTTGTTGTTGTTTACCTCCACAGGTGACCTGGCTTCGGAGGACGAGTACCTGGACATCCCCAGTATCTCCAGACAGAGAGCGGGGACATACGAGTGCACTGCCGTCAACGACATCGCCACAGATGTCAGGACTGTGGAGATCACAGTCAACTGTGAGTTCAATGTCAACCCAGTCCTGGTGTTTATTTACTAGGATCCAAACGGAAGCAATGGGCCAAATCGGGGAGGGACTAACACTGAACTTGTCCATTAAGAGAGACTTGATTTTGTTGCAAAACTTTTTCCTTTGCAAATCGGTTTGCTACAGTGTGCAATAGGCATTCCATTCCCTCGCAGACAGATTCACTGAGTCAATGGTCTCATGACTAGGAATTTAATATAGACTGATGGATGAAGCTCAGTTTGGGTTCATCTTAACTTTGTTCCAGTTCTCCAGAAAAAGTTGTAGGGTTCCATTCACGTGAAATCAGTTTTGATTTGGGTTTAGCTTTATTGTTGTTGCACTTCACCAGAAAAAGTTGCAAAATAATTTGTGCATGCTATACATCATGTCTTATTGGCTGACTATGTGTGACTATTTGATGTTGCCATACATTGGACATTTTATTCATTTTTAAAAGACAGGGATCGTTGATCCTATTCTAACCCCCTTGTAATCATTACAACATTAACTGTGCTATGCTTGGAATGCAGCCCATATGCGCTGAAGTACCAGTTCAATTTACAAATGTGTTCTCCAAAGAAGAATGGCTTTCAACTTGATTACAGCAGTTCAGATAGAGGAACATCCTCTCTGGATGGACAAAATCCTCTCTCTGCTATTTACACACGACCCCTGCTTGATACTTTGACCCCGTCTTTGGCACGCTGATCCCATGAGTGCCCTCGTGTGCCCGTAGATGCCCCCAGTGTGTCAGAGGGCAGAGACGTTGGCGTGACCCTTGGCCAGAGAGGGGTGCTGGAGTGCGAGGCGGAGGCAGTGCCCGAGGCAGACTTCGAGTGGTACCGAGACGACAGAAGGTAAGCCATTGTGCATGTTTGCAAACATGTTGAATTGCTGCTTTTTCCAGCCTTTTAGATTTTCCTGGAAGTAGATTTTCAAGGAAGGTCATTAGATCATCAGCATGTCAAAGGTGAGAGAGCACGCTTGTAGAGTGTCCCTATGGTTATAGACCCAAAGCCTAACGGCCGTATCATTTTGTGTAAAACATTGTACCATTGCACATGGTCAAGACCATGTCATTTCCCCAGCCATTGAACCTGTTTGGAAATGACAATAAATTATAACATGTAATTAAGATAACAATGACATAATATGTAGGCATCATAGCAGTCATCTCAGGCTTCCCTGAACTTCTAGCTGCAGTGAGTTTCCCTACAAGGAAGTTGTGAGAAACACAAGAGTTGTGTGTATTGTTGTACTCACATGGCTGAGGCAGGTCTACACTGAGTGTACAAAACATTAGGAACACCTTCCTAATATTGAGGTGCACCCCTTTTTGCCCTCAGAACAGCCTCAATTCATTGGGGCATTGAGTTTACAAGGTGTCGAAAGTGTTCCACAGGGATGCTGGCCCATGTTGACTCCAATGCTTCCCACAGTTGTGTCAAATTGGCTAGATGTCCTTTGGGTGGTGGACCATTATTGATACACTTGGGAAACTGTTGAGTGTGAAAAACCCAGCAGCGTTGCAATTCTTGACACACCCGGCACCTACTACCAAACCCTGTTCAAAGGCACTGTCTTGCCCATTCAACCTCTTACTACCACACATCCACAATCCATGTCTCAAGGCTTAAAAATCCTTCATTAATCTGTCTCTTCCCCTTCATCTATGCTGATTTGAAGTGGATTTAACAAGTGACATCAATAAGGGATCATAGCTTTCACCTGGATACACCTGGTCAGTCTATGTCATGGAAAGAGCAGGTGTTCCTAATGTTTTGTACACTCTGTATATGTATTTTACATTTCTTAAATCAATTCCTTTATTCATTAATTGACTACCGAGGTGTCCATCCTCTCTCCTCAAGGATCTTCAATGGTTTTGACGGCATGGAGATCGAAGACGCCGGGCAGCTCTCCAAGTTGACCTTCTTCAATGTCTCTGAGGCAGACTACGGCAACTACACTTGCATCGCCATCAACAAACTGGGCAGCTCCAACACAAGCTTTGTCCTGTATGGTGAGTACATGATACCATGTGTTCCAGGTGCAACGAAATGAAAATGTTGTGTGTTGGTAACACTTTATAATATCTTTCACGAAAAGGCCATTATACATGTTTCTAAATACTTCATAAAAGTATTTCACCTGTTATAAAGGCTTACTATGAATGTTTACAAATAATGAAATACTTATTTATTAATAGTTTATAAATGTCTAAATGCCTGTTATCATAAAGTGTACTGAAAATGTCTACGACTCTCATTTCACTTTGAATGGAATTCTATTCTTTATGTGATTTATTTGATATAAATAACTGAGGACATTTCCATGCTTAACATCAGAGCCTCAAGCTGATTTAGTAATCTGTGCCTTCTAATGTAATCTAATGCAACATCATAATTATTTAGGTTAACAGCAACACCTTCCACATCACTGTATGCCTTTTAACACTGCACCCACGAAGCTAAAGACTAATTCACCAGCTTGACTTTCACGTTGTTCATGTTAAGGCAGCATTGTCTATGATTGTTTGCTTTTGTTTGTTTTTATATATTTTGCTCTGTTCTGTTCCGTTCTTCTGGTGTAGAGGTTATTGAGCCCACTAGCTCAACACTATTGCAAGGTTAGTACCGGTATTCGGCATGAGCATGCGTTTCGACCCACTCTCAGATCTCTGATGCGCTAACAGCATTCTAACAATGCATGATAAACATTGCCATTTTCACATCGACAACAAACTGATTAGATGCAAATATCACTGGAGTAGCACTCAATGCTAATACTGAGGTGAGAGGAGGACTATGTTTCTGCCACTGAAAGGGGCCATATAGTGTTTGAGCACAGCCTGACAAAATGAGATTGTCAGGTAGTTACTGGGCTGCTCTGCGATCTTATGAAAACATTATTAGCTTTCAATTCCATGTATTAATATTGATAACAAGTTAAAAGGTATATCTGACAGGTGAAATTTCCGGGGAGAATTCTCCCAGGCTGATGAGGAGAAAGTATGTCACTCGAATCGTTGTGGAAATGGTAAATGAAGAGCTCTGACCTTTTAAACGTTTTGCTAACCGTGTTTTGTTCTTCTTTTCTCAACTGCCTAACCGCCTCACCATGTGGCATGGCTACATTTTCATTTTGCATGTGCTTCATCTGCTGTGTAAGTATCTATCTGTCCTACAACTATCATTTGTGTTGGATCATGTATGTGTTTTAACTGTTGTGACAACTTGTTATACAATTTGTCAGTCTAGTTGTTCATTTGTGTCTATATAGGAATCCCTAATTTCTAATTCCTTCTTCCCTCTAGTTAGTTATTAACGAATACTTGTAATAATGGTTACTACTATAGTGTAGCGCTATGTCTGACCTCTTAGCAATGAATATTAAAATGATTGATTTGATGTCAGCGTCATCATTGTTTGTATTAATTAGACACGTTTGGAATGTAAGTGAAACAGGATCCATTAACTGTGGGGCTCCTCTTCAGAGATGTATTAATTGCTTTGATTTGGATTGTTGGGGGAAAGCAGCACTATTATTATAATTATCCATATGCAGGTTTAGGAATAATCTACTGTGGCAGCATAATTGGATAGATGTCCCAAAAGAAAGCCTGGTGAACTCCAAGAAATTGTATTAACGGTACTCTGCTTCAAAGTTAAAAATTTTTTTTTTAAAGATCTCGTCCGTCTCTCTCTCATTAATGCCCCATGTGGTCCAATATTTATTTACAGTAGCGTCCGGAATTATTGGATCCCTTGATAAAGATGAGCAAAGACTGTATAAAATAAATAATACAAATACTGAGCTATTTTTGTTATTACAAATTATATTATTTTATATTAATACAATTGCTCAGAGAAAGAGGTTTTGTTTATTAACAAGTAATAAAAAATAATCTAAAAAAGATAGGTGTAAATGGATCTCTTTGGCCACACACACCAGTGGTGGGTTTGGCCTTCAAAACAGCAATGCATATGCAGAAATACCTGATCCCTACTGTAAAATATGGTGGTGGATCTAATACCACCATCAAAACTATTTTTTAAACTGCTATTGTGGTAAACATGTACTGTTATTAGTAGGAATACATTATATGCTATAGGATATTTTGAAACTCACAAGATTGTCTTAGTGAATAAGTAAGTGGTTTGACATTTTAATTGGACCAGCGTACAACTCCCCTATTGCTCCAGGCCCCACACCGTTAGCCCAGCCTCTGCTATCACGCTTCAATTTAGACTGAAAACTCACAGACCTCCTACCAGCCAAGAGAAAACAGGCCCGGGTCCTGCTCTTTCCTCCGCTGTCTATCAATGGTTATTGCTTGTCACCTTTCCCTCAGTTGATTAGCTTGTTTACAGCCTTAAGGCTTAAGGCTGACCCGGCCAGCCGGCTTGGCTGGACAAGGTTTCATAATATCATACAGTAAGATGATAATAAGAGTGGTGATAAGGGGGTCTCAAGTCAACAGGGCTTGCTGGTGATGAGAGGACGAGAACAGATGCTGTAGCAATGCTTATATGGCCGCCAAAGTGCCCCCACTTAAACATTCCATCAGCAGGGATCGGATTATTCCGTAGCATAGCAAAGTTAGGTACCCTAGCTGTGCCAAGGATAACTTGGACATCTCTATGCCGAGTAATAAGTAAACAGAATTGAGATGAATGACAATGTTCTCTTTTGAGGTGGGTATCTAATGGCACTAGCAGGCGTTTGGCCCGGGGGGTAGTTCATTATGTGCTGCGTGGCAATTACTGCAATCCAGTTGTTGCTTTTCTTTTTTGCCCAATCCCCCATGCCCCTGTTACACCATTTTTCAAGTGCCTTCTTTCATATAATCTATCTTTTAGAGGAGTCAACCACTCTGTTAGAGTTGACTTCATCTATGTTACAAAAGACAACCTCTGAAACCTTTGCAATATGGGTAATGAATCCACTTTCAAACCTAACCTATTACCCCAAAATGATTGATGAAAAAAATGTGATCAACACATGATGAATCAATAACCCGTAGAAGGTTAAAAGTACTGATACCTGTAGGTGACGTTAGGGGAGAGGGGGATATAGTTGTATATTTTTGTTCTACCACACAAATTTGGGAATATCTGTGAAACACACCTCTGCTTGAGCAGACAGCAAGTTAAGAGATTCTGTGGAGTGCCGGGGAGAAGGTATTAGAGCAGTGAATCACTTATCTGCAGATCAGAAGGTTCACACAAGTCGGCAAAACCAATCTTGAACACCACAAACTCATCCAAGTGTTTTGTTCCCTCTCCTCCGCCCTCGGCCACAACAGGACCTGGAGCAGTGCAGGATGGGAACAGCAGCTCAATGGGGACGCATGTACACACCTACACCTGTCTACTTCTGACCATCCTCCTTCAGTTTCTGCTCAGGTTTTGATGCAGTGGGCTTTCTGGCTTCCGAGGGGCAAGGTTGCGTGGTTTGTGTGTTTTCTCTCACCTGGAAACATAAATGTGATGCACATGCGTGCATGGGCTACCCTATTACATAATGTCAAACCGCTAAAAAGTATTATGTAAATTATACGTTTTTCTTTGTTCATTTTAGGAGTTTTAAGGACATAACAACATTGTCACTTTTTTGGTTTTCGTTTCCCCTCCCATTATGGTATGATTCTTAAATGTTTCTATTTGGGTGTGGTTTGTCTGTTATTTACATTTTATTTATCTCAGTTTATACCGAGTGACAGTCATCTTAGCCCCAAGAGTCTTAGCCCCAAGAGTCTTAGCCCCAAGAGTCTTAGCCCCAAGAGTCTTAGCCCCAAGAGTCTTAAGTGTAAATCATAGTCCACAGACGCTAAGATGTGATAGTCCAGCGTCCCATTGTGATATAGCTGAGAATTCAAAAAGTATGAATGCCAATATTCCACAACACTGCTATGCGTATACGTTTTGGACTATGATAGACGCTTTAGCCCCAAGAGTCTTATCCCCAAGAGTTAAGTGTATGAGATGAATGAAACAAACACCTCAAACAGGCAGTGAAGCAGATGGACTGAAATCACTCTAGGACCTAAAAGCCTGTTATCATGTTTGTTTTTGGTGTAATTATAATTTAAAGCTATTTCTGATTCTGACACATTGACAAACCATAACAATGGAGAAATGGTATTTGACAAATGTTGTTCTTCCTCTCAGCGTTGTAAATTGTGATATTTTCAGTTTGTGCTATGCTATCTATTTTTATTTTTTTTCACATATTTTGAAAGGGGTAAATACAATATCAAAGTTGTAATTTTAATTATTTAGGCAAAGAGCCTGTTCTTCGACCCTTTTAGCTGGCACAAGTCTACACAAGGTGTGGTAAAGAATAATTACTTAACTAGTTATGTGTGGACATCTAACTTCAAGTAATGTAATCGCTCACAAATGTTATTAATGTCACAACAACTGGTGTTACCTTAAGGTACATTTACATGGGTCATTTGCACACGTTGGGGTCAATTCTGAAGTGTTCCCGTCTCAACTAAGCAGTGTAACTAAGAGGCTAAGGAGTAAGATCGTGTCCAATAGCAACTCTCTATGGATCACTCTAAGGGCAAATCCTAACTTGCACTTGAAGGGATACTTCGGGATTTTGGCAATGAAGCCCATTATCTACTTCCCCAGAGTCCGATGAACTCATGGATACCATTTTAATGGATCTGCATCCAGTATGAAGGAAGTTAAGGGGTAGTTTCACGATCCAATGCTAACTAGTGTTAGCGCAATGACTAGAAGTATATGGTATCTACTAGCATGCTAGCAGTTACCATATACTTCCAGTCCATGTGCTAACACTAGTTAGCAATTGCACTAACGCCAGTTATCAACTTCCTTTAAACTGCACGCAGAGAAAATGGTATCCACAAGTTAATCTGACTTTGGGGAAGTAGATAAAGGGCCTCATTGCCAAAATCCTGAAGTATCCCTTTAAGTAAAATGTTCACTTTATGATGCATTGATGTCAATGGGAGACTAAGTGGAAATTGGACTGAGGAGGGAGTTAGGATTTTCCCCTAAAAGAGCCCAAAGACTTCTCAGACATTAGTTTCACAGTATATTTGTATGCTCATTGTTTTCAGTTTGTTACAAAATACTCGCTCATAACCAATAAGTATTAATTGTTTGGCTGTGTTGAACTGGTACATTTTGACTGGAAATGCAAATGTTTTGCATATGTTGTCTCCCAATACAGCGCAGATACATACATTCCATTTAATATATTATCGTTTAGTGTTGTATACCGAGTTAAATAATCAGGAGTGAGTTTGGATTGATTTGAAATCAGGCATATATTTGTCTCCTCTGTGACCTTGTCACCAAGGACACACACTCAGGAGCTACAACAATACTTCCTGTAACCTTTCTATGTAACACAACACCCACATAATCTGATGCTATGGAGAAAACAACTACTACAGACGTTTGCTCAATTTGTTTTTGTATAACAGGAAAGCACACAATGCTCTGAAATCGATATGCAAGAATTTTGCAGCTTTCTTCGGTGCAGTGCATCAACCCTTTGGCCCAGTTTATAAACTGCACAGCAGTTGCTCCTCCTTAGGATAATTTTTTAAACTTTATTAAAATATCTGGACCCATATTCATAAAGCGACTCAGAGTAGGAGTGCTGATCTGGGATCATTTTTGGACGGGGGGTTTTAAAGTTACCTATATCAGGCAGTGCACTTGTGGAGCTCATGAACAACAAATAATTCACGATGAGAAACCACAGTCGAGTGGTTCACTGTGGTTAAAGGGATGATTGTAAGGGACTGATGTATTATAAATCCTAATTTAGAGGTCGTAAAGGTAGACTCAATGTTATGAAATCATCATACACAGTGGGGCAATTTACTGCTTGCTCCCAGATATCAACAACATCTAATCTGCCAGGACTGTGGGCATGCCTCAGGGGAGGGCACAGATTAAGAGTCCGTTTTGGCAGTCTTTTGTTGTTGTTGATGTCTGGAAGCAGGAAGTTACCATGCCATGTACGATGATATCATACTGTGAAGTGTGCCTTTAATATTTTATTCACAAATGGGGAGAAGGGGACACATTTTGATGTTAAGAAATAATTGACATGTTAATGGTTCAAACCTGTGGTGCTGCCATCAGAATAGGCCATATTACAACAGATAATTGGGTGCATTTATCACACATTTCAAATGGGTTATGTCTGTGTGAGGGCTGTATTGATTTTACACTGATTTGGAATATCACTTTAATGCATGTCATGAATGATGCACAATGCATCAGCGTAATGGTTTGCACCCAAAAACCATTTTGAAATAATTACCACATGATTATTACCCTTGTAAAAGAGGTCTTCAGACCTCAATGGGATAAATAAAGGTTATATAAGTGTTCTACGGTGGTGATGGCATCACACATTTCCTGACAAAACGGATCCCAATGCCTGTTGAAAGATATGGAAATCTGGGGTTAACCTCAGTCTAGTGACGGAAGCTATATCATCATGTGGGCTCAATGAATTAAAGGCCATGCTAAGGGTAGATTCAATAAAAGTTTTACAAAGTTTTTTTGTAGTTTCAAAACATATGTACAGAAAGCAACAGCTGGGGCTTCTGAGAAGTCCACGGTTTAACCATCACAGAAACCTATTTCCAACTATTATTTTTGACTGAGCTTATATTGCACCTACCCTTTAGTATAGTGCTGTTTGTGACGTGACATTTGTTGAGTATGCATTGCAGTTTGGAATAATTTGTTTTTGAATAGGGACTTTAGAAATAGCAGTGACAAAGTGTAGACATTGGCGGCATATGGATGTGCTCGTCTCAGTTATCAAAGGAAATGTCTGTGTTGGTGCATGACCAAATCTCATGATCGACTTAATTTGAATCTCTGATGATACACACATTCTCTCTACCCCAATACAGTACAGTCAAGTCATTCACCCGGCATAGGTCACAGTGGTCCCGTAATTCTGGTTGATTCCAAAGTGAAGGGAAAATTACATTCTATTTGACTCCCTGTAATGATTCATATGTATTTTCTTTATGAAGATTGTGTGTTCATATAAGACTGACAATAATAATAATAAAAAATGTATCTTAAATGCCCCATGCTTTGACCATCATTGTTTGAGTATGCTCATTGCCATGCTTTGGAATTGCAAGTCAGCCATTTGCGTGTTTGCTTCATTGGGTAATTTAACTCACCTGGTGTCTCCAGGCACTGTATCGCACCACCTTGTCAGCCATACCTCTCTAGGACCCACATGACAGACTATTACATTTTTTCCATTTGGGAGACATCTCCAATATGCGTTAGGTGAATCAAATTCCCATATCATGCCAGTGGTCTGCCATAAGGTGGAGAGAGTAAGTGCACTCTGTGGAGTGGTGAGTGTGGTGACTGTCACAATGACTGGAGAGCACCATTGATTTTTCACTGACCCTGGCCTTGACTGACTGTGGCCCTGTCCAAACACAGTGCCAACTCCCGCTAATGGAGTCTTACTTCTGAGTACATACTGTAGTGGTCCTATTCAAGTGATCTCCTCTCACCTATCAATTATGTACCACTTCAGCATGGGTGCTTCCTTAATAGGTTAAATCTTGTTTCTCTGCCCTGCTATACCACCACGACACTGGATGTTAATTGAACGGCGCACCAAGTGACACTTTCTAATTCTCATTCCTATAGATTATACATGCAACAAGAGGCGCTGAGTGTTGTCCTCCAAGACATCACTTAGAGAATAGGTCAGGGGTAGGCAACCCTGTTCCTGGAGTGCTGTAGGTACTGCAGGACTTTGTTCCAACTAGGTACCACACCTGATCAACTGAGCTAACTGATCAGTTCAGTGATTGCCTAAATTCAACACACCTGGTCTTCCAGGTCTGTTAAACCAAAAACATTAAGTTCCTGCGGCACTCCAGGACCAGGATTGCCTACCCATGGAATATGTCATTACCAGGATTGCTTTGCAGACAAATGATTATTGCTGTGTAGTGCATCTTCAGGTTGGCGTTGTTTATTACTGTTTTTCCCCCCCAAAAAAATATTACAAATTGGGCACCTCTGCTGCTCTGCACTCGCTACCCTGCTGTTCTACTTCATCCTCAACAATATTTAATTCATGCAAACATCTGCTCCCTGCAATTGAGAGAAAGTAAAGACCGGCACCGTTAAAAAGAAAATGGACCCGTCGATAAGATAACATCTTTAACTGTATGGTACTTTATTTTTTATCACATTTCTTTAACGGGCAATTTTCTAAGAAATGTACAAATGGGGATACAGTGGGGAGAAGTTCAGTTAATACAATAAAAATGGATGCATGTCTGCAACCTTGCTGACTGATGATACAAGGAGTCTCCACGCTGTTACTTCATGATCAATGCAAACATTCTATCCTCAATTGGC